GTTTCCACACGATCGACTGGAAACAGAAGAAACTACGGCAAACCGTGGAATAACTACGAAAATCACTACAAGAAGTTCACTCAACAATCGTCGACAAACGGCGCGCCGCCGAAAACAAGCGAATGCTTGAGAAGACAAACCAATACGAAATAAAGGTCACAGAAGGAGACTTTTTGCTTTGGTCACGCGTGGACGAGAACACACATTACCCCAAGCTACTGGTCACGTGGATTGGCTCCTTCCGTGTCCTCGAGTGGCTGCACTACTCATATGTCATAGAATACTTGATTACGGGGGTGCAGCGCGAAACACATCACTCACGACTCAAGTTCTACGCGGAAAGCCACTTTCAGGTAACTGAAGAAATGATTGACCACGTCAGTGAACAAGGGACCACGCTGGTTATTGACCAAATCGAGCACGCAAGGCGCAACCCTGGTTCTAACCAGTGGGAATTATTGATCCAATGGAAAGGCCTAGAGAGCCTCGAAGCAAGCTGGGAACAGCTCCCGGCGATGCACCAGGAGATCCCATCCTTGGTGCAGTCTTTCGCCGACCAATTGCCAAACGGCGCTAAACGTGAAGGGCTGGTCGAGACCCTAGAACGGTTGTAGAGTACCCTCTTTCATATCATTGTTGCGAGCTGTCGTACACGAGCTAGGTGCCGGACACGGGAATGGGGGGAGTGTTGCGTTGCCAAGATGGACATACCCGTAGTCCTAGCACCCACTTGACGCGCCTGGCTGGAGCCATTCGGGCGGCCAGGCCCAGTCTGCGTTGGACGGCTTCGGGCGGCGCGGTGTGTGGTGCGAGCAGGAAGGGTTAGGGTCAGGAAAGGCCAGGTCTAGTCTCCGATGATTGGTGGAACCAAAAGGGGATTTAGACTTAGAGTTAGTATAGTGTGAGTTTAGTCAGTGAGTAGTTCAGTTCTAGTTTTGCCTCCAACTGCTCAATACACCACCAAGCTTTGCCCGGGAGTCCACTGCTCCCCCAACATTGTGTTTGTGTTGAGAAGTTGCACGGAGGCGCAGTTGCGACACATCAATTGTTTTCATCGACGATGCCGGTATGGTGTCATGTATAGTCTACATAGAATTGAACAATTTACCAGATTCTGAACGAAAAGTATGTTCAAAAGGGGTACAGTACGTAGTAGTTCATAGTGAAGGGGGGACAGGTAGTATAGGGTGGTTAACGTGGCGAATATTGGACACTAGCGTTACCGCTTAGTTAGGGGCCGCTATAATGTATCTACTACACTACTTGTAGTTGGCAATTGATTGAATAGTTGATAATGTCTGAATACAACATGCAGTCTCCCCCTTGCACTGTTATAAAGCCCTTTCCCAACAAATATTTTACATGCAACACTGTATTACGTGTGGCTGCTGTTGGCTTACATAGTGTAATATGTAGAATATTCCACAGATCCCCCCGCATCAAGTTGAATCATAGCCTGCCCGACACCACTGCAAGCACTGTACACTTAACACGGAAGTTTGGGGGGCGTTATTACGTAGAACTAATAGCTGCGAATACACCGGAGTAGTAGCAACAACTAACTGGATTCTACAGATGATGGTTTGCTGGATTGGATGCAACCACTACTTATTCCTCGATCATTTACTCAGCGACTCAAAGTATTTTAATTCAGTGTTGTATTCAGTTGAGTTGAGTACAGTAGTTTACAATACACAAAACAGCAGCAGTCACGAGTAATGTGTGGAGTGCAAAGTAGGGCTTTAACGTTATGACAGGCAACTATCAGCTAACGTTACGACTGTAGTATCCCCCAAATCAATTTCAAAACTAGAAGTTACTACTACGTAGTACTCCGGAGTACATAATTGCGCCCCCTACCGTTCGTGCCTAAAAATTCCCAACTTTCGACACCCGCATATTAGCCCCCTTTCACTAACGTTAAGTGCAGCATCATCCCGAAAGGAATTGCATGAAGTGGCCGCGCCAATAGATAACGTTATCGAGCTGTTAAGTTAGCCATGTTTGCGCGAAAAGTGTTGAATTCTAGATTACGTTATGGGTGATACGGGTGGTCATCAAGGCTCTAAGCTTGAAATCGCTAAAACTATTTGACCATTCCTCAGAGTGGTCTATTTCAAATCAGGCACCATACAGTAGTTTCAAACGATCTCGTTCGAGGTTTGATCGTATGAAAATGCACCAATCGTAGATTGTATTTTGAATATACACCAATCCTACAGTAACTATGCGTACAAAAAGGAAGGTACCCTAACATGTACTGGTAAAACAATTGGCACTTCAAATTGAAGAGGTTCCGAGTCTGAAATGGTTTCCACGGACTGCACGCCTTGTTTCAGAATAAAAGACCTTAGGGCATCCCCAATGGTGCGACGGTAAACGCTATTTTACCGTTTTTGGGGTCAAGTATGCAGTTTTGGCAACCCCAACGGTGCGACGGTATCTACCGGAAACGGCATATTTTTACCGCAAGACGGCAAATCGGCCTTTTTTACCGTTTTGTGACCACCCGACGGTAAAATACCGGAGCCAATCATAAACCACAATTCATCATATTTCCACCAATAAAACGAATGTATTTGAGCATGGACATTTCCAAACCAATACTGACACTGCTGGAATGGCTCTCAACGGGCGGGGTGCGAACTTCACCACTGATGAGGACTACCAGCTACTTCGTTCGTGGTTGAACATATCCCTAGATGAGTCTAAGGGGAGTGGGCATAAGGCCGAGCAGTTTTGGGCCCGCGTGGGGGCGACTATTGCACCTATTGCGATTCGGACTGCCATCGCACAGTACGATCCTTAGCTACTTGGTGGAGCAACATACTGGAGTAATGCAATAAGTTTGTTGGGTGTTCATTATGGTCTCTTTTAACGTGCGGTCTTGGCCCCGGTGTTTGGTGTGGTCCGTTACTCATGCGTAGCATCTCCCAAGCGTCGTCCATGTCCTCGTCCATGCCTCGATGGTACTACACCTTTTCCCAATCAAGTTGCGCACTTTTGCCAATCAAGTTGAATCGGATATAAAATATAAATTTTCACGAGAGATGTGGAGTGCAAAAGTTCGGATCAACATGAATTTTGTTCCAATCAAAGTGAACCACAGAAGCGCGCTATTTTCGCGCCCAACATGTAAACTGTCAATGCACAATGATCATTTTCCAATCACCCGACTTGTCTTCGCATGAAAACACACAAAGGCCCCACCGCGGAGGAGAAGAAGCGTG